CAACACAAAAAGGTTCTCATATATAAATGTTTTTCATAGTTCATGTTTGAGGTATATATATATTTAGTTAAAAAATTTATTTACTTAAATAAATTCAACGGGATAAATATATAATTTTAATGTCTGACTCCAGTTTCAACATGTTCTCACTCCCAGAGTGTAACATTCTACGCAATGTGACAAATCGTCGGTATGTTACGCTTTCCGCCACTAAACAAGTCTCTATGTTACGCCTTCAGAAACAGGAGTATACATGAGAACTGTTTGGACTGAATCTACACATGTACATTCATTTCACTTTCTCATCATGGATCACTTTGGAAAACACTATCTATTCAAGTAAGGAGCTGCTGAGTGGGTTACTGCAAGGACACAAAAGGGGAACTCGTGAAAAAATGAATGAGATTTCATGCATCTGTGTTATATAACATTTTTATCGAGGGCCGTCACTTAAGAGTCTCTCACACCTCAAAAAAAAATTTATCTTTTCCCTCTCCCTGTTCATTCTGCTCTCCTCATCACATCGGTGTTGTTGGGAGCTTCCATGTGACGGACACAGCTGTTATCTGTTGAATCCTGGGTCCTGCACATCTGCCAAAGACCTCACACTACATTTACACCCCACCATCAAAACACAGATACAGCACTTGCGCGTTTCAAATAAAAAATCTTAGCCTGAAAGAGAAGGGAAACATGAATATTTAACAAGGAAACTGCTTTTAGATAGTTTGAGGGGGAAAAAGTGATGGCTGGTCTAAATGTCTACCTGATGAGACTAAGACAAAGAACAAGAACTCAGCTACCCTCCAGTCACCTCAAGCTGTATTCAGGTCATTCATTGGTTGTGACAGTATAAATAGTATGTCAGGGAACTGGAGGTAGTTCCCCTTTGAAATTCAGTCACAAATGCTCCTAGAAATAGTGTTATGTCACCAAGTTTTATCTAGTTTGAGAGATCTATGAACACTTTACTTGCAATGAATCATAACATATGCTCCTCATACTGCTGATAGAGAAACCAATTCTCTCTTCCCTTTTCTGACTTTTATGTGTGGGCTATCTTTAATTGCAGTTCCTATTAGGTTAGACAAGAGAAACTCTGTAAACTATTCAATATTCAGCTGAAGATCCAATATCGCTAATTTTCCTTTTGGCCCAGAGAAAATAGTGCGCCATGATTTTGGTTGACAGCCTAACAGCAGTGTATATATTTGAATGAGACAGTAAGCTATAAGGCACTCCCCCGTCTTTTCTGACATCAGTCACCTTGCACCCTCGCAATCTATCAAAATACAGCGTCATTGCTTCCTGTGATTTCCCAGTCACAACCGTGCCTCCCTGTCCCCATATGGCTGTAGGTGCAGATTGAAATGGAAATAGGCAGGATCAAATAGGATCAATTATTAAATCTGCTGTGTCGCAAAGGATGGAGTCAATGTGGGTGGGCTGAGGCACAGGGGAGAGGAGAAAGAAGTTTTCCTAAACTGAGGTAATATTTTTCATGTCTTGTAACAAAAAGAAGAAAAAGAAGAAGAATGTGCTCTTGAGTGAGTTGGGGGGGGGCAGACACTGGTACGATTGACAGTTTATTTAAAAGGCCATTAACTTTACATACACAACTTGACATACACATATGCTGCAATTTAAGGCCCCAAGGCTCTAACTTTTTTTAGGACTCACAACGTGAAAAGATACTGTACCCGGTTAACACATCTCACATACTGGGTTGTTGTACTAATAGAAACAGGAGAAATGTGGCAAACTCGACAGCTTGACCTTTTGAATTTCACGCTGGTCTTATGGATTCATCTAATTGCAATGTACATTAATAATGTGTGTATTCTCAGCTGCAAAGGTTGGAGCTAATATAGTAGATGAGCAAAGCCAGTGCTCTACAGGACTGTGCGATGTCTCGAACAATTGGCTTTTCTCTCGCTGCATAGTTATTTTTCTACTGTAATATTAACCACTGACAAGATATAACATATCTTAACCTTTAGAATAAGCCATGTTCAACATGGATGGGAGAGCACAGGCGAGACAGATAATTGCATTTAATTCCTCTCCTGAAGTTTTAACTTCACAAACATTTAAGGATTTTATTTTTGATACAGCCAAGTGATTATTTAAACTGTTTGCAGATCGAAAGCCTCTGTCAAGCTTCTGCATGTCACTCCATTTGACACTCTGCAGCATTAGGTCATGGTTTACTGGAACAATGGCACGCATCTGTTTACAATTTTCTTCTATTGTTTTATGATATGAAGATTTTAATTGCTGATGTGCTAATTGTTGTTCAAGAACAATGCAAAAGAAACAAGGAGAAGAGGCTACATAATCTTCAAAGCAGGAAGCAAAAATAACCTGAAAAAAATGCATAAAACTGCATTATACTATGTAATATAACAGCTAACCACAGACAATATGTAAAAGATGGATGTAGCCACTCTCACCATCATCATCTTTGTGTTTTGCCTGGCACACCCTGACTTATCTTCTTTTCTGTCTTTAATACTGACCACAATTTACTAAGTGGTCTTCATGCTGCATTCAATATGACTTTAAACAAGCAAATGAACCTATAAAGTCAGAAATGTATTTAGTGAGTTCACTGAGAAAGGAGGACTGTTTTTCCATAGACTTACAACTGCATCATACATAATACATGGATAACCCCCTGCTGGTGATTAATAAGAAAGCAGCCCGGAACTCTGTGCATCTTTTATGTACAGCAATGCATTGTATTGTGTTACTTAATTACTCTTTGGAAAAAGTAGTTCATTACACTACTTGTTAAAATAGTTTTGCATTACTCAGTAGCTGCTGACACAATTTGCACTTTACTATTGCACTACTTTCATGCAATGCAAATAAAAGGAATATTCCTATCTTTAAGCCTTATACACTGCCGCACCGTTTTCCTCCTCCTTGTTCATAAGCTCAAATCAGCTGATTGTAGCACAAGTGCAGGAACAAAGAAGCAGATGTCGGTCCTGCCGATGGATTAAGGGCCTTCCGCAGTCCTGTACAGCTCTCCTAGAGTAACTGCCTCTATCCTGGAATCTCCTCCACGATATTAAGATTGTGCTGGGAGACACAGTAAACTTTCTGGCAATGGTACATGTTGAGGTGGACTACCTGTGCAAACTCTGTAGGGTCCAGGTGTCACCTTATGCTGTTTTGGAGGTTGTCTCATTGTTGCCCCTCTAGTGCAGCTGTTGTTAATTTCATTAACACCAAAGCACCTGAAACTGATTAACAACTCCCTCTGATACTAACTGACCAGATCAATATCCTAGAAGTTTCACTGACTTGATGTTACACTCTGATTAAGAAGTGCTGCTTTCTTTTTCTTTTTTTTAGCATTGTAATTTCACTCTGAAAGTTTAACTTGACTCTGACACAGAGGAACATATTAGACAATCACAGGCAATACTGTACAATATCTCAGTTTTTAGCATTTCACTTTTGAGAAACAGAAAGAAGAAAAAAGAAAAAGAAAAAAAAAAAGAGGAAAAAGAAAAAAAAAAGGAAAACACTATCTAACATTATTAAGGTTGTTTTTTTCAAGGTTAGGGATAAGGTTATGGTTAGGATTAAGATTAGGGTTAGGGCTGGAATAAACGGCTGGAACGTGTATTACCACAGGGAGCATCATTCTATTTGATTCCATCCACAACACGGCACATATCAAAGGAACGTGGAAGGTTACCTTTCGCATTCCCATGAGACACCTTGGGACATGACAAATCATCGGTATGTTACTCTTCAGGAATGAGAATGGTTTCGCAGTTTACATCTAATCTGTCTGCTATTTTAACAAATATGATGTCCAATAACACTTTAAGATTAAGTAATGCTGAAGAACTGTCGTGAGTCATGACTGAAAGATCCCTTTCACCACTTTGTGAGGTACCTGGTTATTCTTTGCATCTCTAACAATACTGTCTCTGTGCTGGGATCTATCTGAGGGATTTAATTCATCCTTTGTTGATTTCTTTGCTGCTCATTGTGGGACGAAGCTCCCTCTTTCATATCTTAATGCAAACTGGTGGTATTGCTAACAAAGAGAATTTCCTTCCAACACGCAACACTGTAACTGTAACAGCTACATCACAGTAAAAATGTAAATGTTTTACATTTTCTTTAAATGTAACGCACTTTTAAGAAAAAAATAAGAAAGAATTTACACACCTACAGAACATAAAAAGGTGTTCATATTGTCCTAGCCCTAAGACAGCATTCACTTCTCTGGCAAATTATTCTACTGAGTCAAGTACAAAATCTTCTGATTTCCTTTCATTTGACGTTTACAGTAATCTGATACAATACGGAAGAAAATTAGTTAGGGAAAGGCGGGAACAAGAATGTTGTCGGGCCATTTTATGTCACCACTTGGAAAACAGCCAAGAACAAGTATATCTGGAAATGACAGGCTATTCTTCATTACATTTTGAGTTGAGGTTGAAGCTTGTGCTTTAACAAGAGGTATTTTTAATACTTTGCCCACCACAGTTTCAAACATGAAGAGGGAGAAATACAAGTAGCACACACCTGTGCAATACGGGGCAGCACCGGAAAATACAATCTATTAACAAGGTAGGATAAGAAGATACCAGATAATTATTTATATCACCATAATCACAAGTGTACATGTGACTCCACACTTCAAAGTGAAGAATTCAAAGTTAAGCCTCAATGAACATGCCCTACTCCAACAGCCAAGTCACATTTTGACTCAGTAGTAAATGATTCTTATTGTCTTATATCAAACTGTTCATGTTAATTAAAACACATTATTTCTTTTAGAGCTCTGTGTGGACCAGTGCGGTGATGCACTGTGTTCCCTGCAAATAAACATGAACAAAGGTACATCCCTTTTGCTGGCAAGCATTGTGACGTGAGCAAGCCCGTAAGCCAATCGTTACTTATGTTGAACCAAACTTCGCCCACACTACCTGTCTTTCCTGTTAACATATTTCATTTCTCTAGGCATTTGATCACAGCAGTGCGTAAGTAGACTTCCAAAAATATGTCTCTCCAAAACTCATTCTAAGGGATCCTGTTTCTCTTTATTCTTTATTTGTGTGAATGTCTCTGGATAAATGTTTATTTTACATGTTTGATGTGTGTGTGTGTGTGTGGGGGGGGTCTGTAGTGCCGCTGCAGGGGAGGTGGACCCACCTGAGCGGCATCTGCAATCACGCCTCTCCGGCTGTGCTGTCTGTGCTCTCTCGGCTGTTGTTTTGGTGTGTGTCGGGCTGTGAGATGAAAAGCTACAGCCGGCTGTGTGGGTACAGCAACCATGTGTGCAAAGTGGTCAATAAAGTAATGCTACAAAGCGTGTTCATGCAAACATTGTCGGGTCTGCCGTGGTACAATGGGACTTCTGCTCATGAACCTCTGCGCACAGCTTCTGCAAATCGGGGCTGTACGAAGTCACCTCATCTTTACACAAAACTGTAAGCTGTCATCTGTGAGGCGTGTGCGGTGTTTGTTTTCACCATAGTTCATGGAGGAGAATGGCTGGTCTGCTGAGTTTTGCTCTCTGTAGCCGTATGAATGGAAAACTACACTGATTAGCAGCGGCATAGGCACACTTAAAAATTTTATGAAATTTTCGCTTTCTAGTTATTAAGTGTGCCTATGCCAAGAGGCACACGTATTACTATTCGTCAGATTTATGCTGCTTATTATTCTCCTTTTTCCGCCTAAAATTTCGCAGCATTACTCACCCCACAGTTTTGAGACAAGCTTCACATATGTTATATCATTTTGTGCGGCTGGATCTGGAATGGTGTGCTATGACTTTTGGTGTTTATGACTTATATACTTTTTTAAATATTAATATTTTAGTGCAAATTTTGGCCCATTGACATGGTGGAAAACTCCATATCCCATAATTCATAGCACACCTCTGCCAGTCAAACAATGGCGGCCACCTCTTCATTTTATATATTGCTTTTATTAGTGTTTCTAGGTCACAAAATAAACTTTTAAGATATTTCAGGCGAGAATGTAGTGTGTAACTCAAATATCTGCTCGTTTTATCAAGACATCCCATATTAGCAACAGTGCTCTGACGATGTTGCTGCCGCATGGCAGCTAGCTTGCTAGCTAGTGCTTGGCTGAAAAAAAACAGCGAGGGCGACTCTCTCTCTCGTTTCACCTTCCCGGTCTCTCGCAAATACTCGCATAGACTCGGAGTCACAGCTGGACTTATGTTTCGTTTTTATGGGCTGATGATTCATTTATTCATTTTAGTAACGGTATAAACAGTGAAAGGTGGTGGATTGTCCAGATGCTGGTCGATGTGCAAAAATAACTGAGTTGTTTGTTGGTGGCTAACGCGGAGCTCCAACAGAGGGCAGCTACCCACCGGTGTATGAGAGAAGACATGCGGGAGAAAGAGATATACGAGGCGGCCGCCGAGCGACCGGGCCTGGCTTACACCGAGAGCGGTTCTCTGTCTTGTTTCACCCCCCCCCCTCTCTCTCGCGCCACCGGTACAAGTGTCCGGTGAACTGAATTTCAGGTAAGACGTTATGTATATTTTCGTTGTGCTGACTTTTTACAATCAGTTACAATAAGTCGTCCTCCGCGCTAGCTAGCATGACAGACTTTCTATACAGCTGGGTGGGTGCTGTGTTACTGGTGGTGAACTTTATTGTATTCATAAGGTTAGTTAGTAGAGTTGCCAACCGTCCCGTGCAAAAGGAATCATCCCGTATTCAGAGAAAATATTACGGAACACAAAAGGAACAAAAAAGAACACAGTTTGTCCCGTACTTCAGCTACAATGGAAAAAGACACAAAGCTGGATTTATTCTGTCGTTATGCTGCACAGCGGACTCTTCCCCTGTCATTTTCTCCCATGTTGCAACTTCAATCATGAAACTGATCAGCTGATCGGCCGCCCACTATGCGCCAGAACGGGAAACCGGTTCTGTCGTTACGTTGCACAGCCGACTCTTCTCCTCTGATTCTCTCCCTGTCTCTTGCCTGTTGCTACTTTAATCATGAAACTGTTCAATGATCAGCTGATCGGCTTTTCTCTCGTGTTTGTTTATCGCCCACTATGCGCCAAAACGGGAAAGCCGGCGGATGTCGCGCTAAACAACGGCAGCACGTTTAAGCTTGATCAGCTGCTGTTAGAATTTATTTAAATATTAATTTCTAGTATCAGCTGATGTTTGACATGCCTCCTGACATCTGACCCACGTTAACACACGGACTGAACATACACACACCCACAATGGACAACTGTAATCTCACACATACAATAATAACATGGACTGAACCACCACTCACAACCACTAGCACTTTATATAGCCTCTGTAGAAACTATCTACACCCTCACTTATCTTAACTGCACTACTCATTCTGTACATTCGATAATTTCTAATCCTACAACTGTTTACAACTTGCATAGTTCCCATTTCTGTATAGCTGTATATCTCAGATTTCTTTAAAGTTATTTGTTTCATATTCTGTATAGTTTTTCATATTTATATTGTTGAAATCTCCCAATTCTTTTAATCTTTGGGCTGAAGGAAGGACAATACTCGGTGTATATATGCTCAATCAACAATCATTTATTTCCATACAATTCAACACAAAGAGCATTAAAACGTCCGGACGGGAGAGGTGCTTGCAGAGGGTTAGCCGCATGTCTCAACATGGTGGCAGATTTCCCAGCCTTTTATAGCTTCTGGCGACCCCTACCTAGTCATAAAAGCTACATCTTCACATGTTTTTCTAATTCTTAGCGAGACTGGCTCCTGACCTTGGCTCCCTGTTTTCTACTCTACAGAAGGTGGGGTATGGAATGTGGTCTATCTCCCCTGTCCTAGACACAGAGTCTCCTGCATACAACCTTTCTTTTCATTATTCAGCAGTAAAACATGTCAAGAACACAGTGTGAGACATTCACAGCAGATCAAGGATACAGAGTGATGCACACTTATCTAATGAACTACAACATGAATATGTTCTTTTAACCCAAAAGTATAATGAGAACTAAGCTACATACACCGCACACAATCTAGACTTAAAGGATAATATATGTCCTACAGCTGTTATCATAATTCAACTACCTTGACTACGGGCATAAAATAGCATATGTTTTACTAATAATCTTCACAATATCCTGTTCATAGCCTGTACATAGCTTGTACTCACTACAGCCTGTACATACTTATAGCTATAGAATATTCACAACATACTTCATACCGGGAACATTATAACATACCATAATAGACCCATTGCTGTAATATACTTAAATAAATACTAAAAAAAAAAAATACTAAATACTTACATATCTATACTATTGCTAATATATATTGTAATATATCTATATCACTAAAGCACTTCTGGATGGATGCAAACTGCATTTCGTTGCCCTGTACCTGTGCATGTGCAATGACAATAAAGTTGAATTCTATTCTATTCTATTCTATGTTTGCTGGAGCCACAGCTGTAAAAGCTGCTGGTCATGATATTGGTTTGAATATGTGGTGACAGGGTGGTGTTACGGATTCAAATATTGGGGATGGATACAAGAGGAAAAACCAAAATAACAACACTGGTCCGGCCAGGTTGAGTCAAACGATGATTTTATTGATCACGCGCGTGGGAGATGGACATCGTACGCAGACAGCATCAGATCTCAAAATGGTGGAGCATTGATCAAACTCTTATAGCCTCTAGTGGCCCCCACCTAATCATAAAAGCCTAAACATTCACATTCTTTCTCTCACACAGTGCCTAAGCTACGACCTTGGCTCCCTGTTTATCTGCTCCTGCTGAGATGGGGCAGAAAACCTCTCCAATATGTTCTGTTCTCTTCTAATCAGACAAATAAGGTGATGACTTTCTGCGAACAGTATTTCTTATAACTCAGCAGTATAATGCATCATAAAACAATATCATTCATTCACAATAAACCAGCAGTCTAATGTAATGCAAATCAGTTTAACAAATGTAATAGTTATCACCTTCTTCTAATTCAAGAGAATAATGCAAACTAAAACTACATAATAATTCACAATCTTTAATTAGGGGTCTAACATGGCATAAAATACTATTATAATCCCACAGTGGATATGTAGTGAAGATGAAACCAGAAGATGTCCTTACTGAATCATCAGAGCTTAACAGGTGATGGAGAAACAAGTTTACCCTTTAGGTGACATAGACAATTGTTCAATGGGCCAAAACTTGCATTCAAATATTAATATTAAAAAAAAAAGCGAGAATGTAGGTGTGTAAACTTCAAATATCGGCCGGCTCGTTTTATCAAGACATCCCATATTAGCAACAGTGTTCAGACGTCGTCAGTGCCCCCTGACAGCTAGCCGGCTAGCCGGCTAGCTAGCTAGCGCGGCCTGGCTGACAAGCGATATCAGGCCTGGATGACAGCAAGGGCGACTCACTCTCTCGTTTCACCCCGTGGTCTTTCGTGATGAGTCTGGGTCACAGCTGGACTTATTTTTCGTTTATATGGGCCGATGATATATTTATTCATTTTAGTAACGGTATAAACTGTGGAAGGTGGTGGACAGCTAGCTAGCTAGCCCGGGCTGACTGAAAACGATCCTGGCTAATTAAAGCCAGCGAGAAGACCTCATTCTCTGGATGTCATTTTCACACACACACACACACACACACACACACACACACACTGGTCTCTCTCATTGACTCTGTGTCATAGCTGGACTTATTTTTCGTGTTTATGGGCCAATGATTTATGTATTCATTTTAGTAACAGTATAAACAGTGGAAGGTGGTGGATTGTCCAGATGCTGGTCAAACACAACTTTTAAAAACACCAGTATAGGCTTATATGGCCCTGACAGTAAAAAAAAAAACAAAACAAAACCCTACATTTCCTCAAAAGTGACATCACTTCCAGTTTCGGACAGATAATGGCGGACACGCAATAGTTCGCGCTGACGTCTATTCCAGCGTAGGAAGTGTTACGAACAGCTGATCGGAGTGGCAAAGCGTGTTT